AACTAAATCTATACTGTTAACAGAATCTAAGTGGTTCTTTTTAAATTTGGAATCAGTATCTGTATCATTTAAAAGATTATTCGTTTTACGTTCGTAATCACTTTCTTTTTAAGTTTTAAAAAAAACTTATTAGTAATAAAAATTGCATCTTACTAAAGCAGATAAAATTAATGCGATAGTAATTTGTTTGCCTTATTCGGCAAGAAGATCGTTGCTACTTAATTCAAAATAGCAAGTTTTACCTATTCGACAGGACATATATATACTCACACACACACACACACACACATGGATTCATCCTGAATCCATCCAAATGTGAAATCATCTCAGTCAGTCAACAAGTGATAAACGCAGTGAGATCAAAACTACCAGGAGCAGCAGTCATTGCCCCCACAAATAGTGTCTTGCTTGGAGCACCTCTGGGAAGCAAGGCCATTGACACAATTCTCAGGAAGAAATTGGAAGAGTTAAGGAGAATGGAACAACGAATAGGCAATCTTGACACCCACGATGCCTTCTACCTTCTCACAAAGTGCTTGAGTCTGCCCAGGTTGACATATTTCCTAAGATGTGCACCTTCATATGATAACCCTATACTGCACGAATATGACAGTATCCTGAGGCAGATTTTTACGAAAGTACTTAAGCTTACTCTAGAAGACGGGCAGTGGAACCAAGCTACACTTCCAGTCAGACTAGGAGGCATTGGTGTCCGCAAGTCATCACAGATTGCGTTACCTGCTTTTCTGTCCTCATGTATTGCATCCAGAGAGCTTGTAGCAGCGATTCTCCCTGAACATCTTAGGGACAAGATTGGAGTCCAGGACCAAAAATTCATTGACGGAGCAATGATCTGGGATAATCTAATGGGCTCAGAAACCAAACCTCCTCCCCCCAACAACTACAAACAATCGCACTGGGATGGTCCAATAGTGGAAAATATAGCCTCAACAATGCTTCAGAGTGTGTCAGGGAAGGATAGAGCCCGCCTCCTGGCAGTGGGAGCCCCTCATGCTGGGGACTTTCTGTTGGCTGTTCCAACTCCAGCCTTTGGCACACGCCTCGACCCACAGACCATCCGCATCGGTGTTGCCCTTCGACTTGCCGCCCCTATTCTCGCCGAACACAGGTGTATTTGTGGCAGGGAAGCAGCAGACCGATTCGGGTACCATGGTCTTGTGTGCCGTAAATCCGAGGGAAAGATTGCAAGACATGAGGAGGTAATAACATTATCAAGAGGAGCCTCACAACAGCTGGATGCCCAGCAGTAAGGGAGCCACCCCAACTATGCAGATGTGATGGCAGCCAGAAGCGTCCAGATGGTATCACCCTTCAAGCCTGGACAGATGGGAAGCAGGTGGTGTGGGACTATACATGTGCATCTACCTTGGCTGATACCTATCTCCAATACACCAGGGAGGAAGGAGGGGCAGCTGCCAGCTTCAGGGAGTCCCAAAAGTCTAGAAAATATGGAGAACTTGCCCATCATTATATGTTTGTTCCCATAGGCTCAGAGACCCTTGGCTCATGGGGAAAGAGTGCATCTAATTTCCTTAAGGAGCTGGGAAAAAGACTCATCAGGGTAACTAGGGATCCCAGGGCAGCTAGTTTTCTGTTCCAGCGGCTCAGTGCGGCTGTTCAAAGGGGTAATGCCTGCTGTATTTTGGGCACACGCCCCAGCTCTGAGGAGCTGGATGAGATTTTCGCCTTATAATCGGTGATACACACGTAACAACATGTACCGTATATGCCACCTTTATATCAACAATGTATCTCTTAAATCTTCTGTACCATATTATGTAATAATATATATATATATATATATATTATATATATATATATATATATATATATATATATATATATATATATATATATATATATATATAATATTTATATATATTTATATATATTTATTTATATATATATATATATATATTTATATATATATATATATATATATATATATATATATATATATATATATATATATATATATATATATATATATATATATATATATATATATATATATATATATATACACATGTTTGGCTGTTTGGTCTGTTTGGCTGTCCCACCAAGGAGAGACAAGTCACTAGCAACATATGTTATTAGGGCAATAAATGCATTCCCAAGGGATGACAACCTCGTCCGTCTCCCCCCTAGGACGACGAACACCCGCCGGGCAAATGCCAACAACAGGACACCCGACACCTCAAAAATCAGAGCCCAAATTAGCAAAAAAAAAATAGAAGAGGGTAACACTATTGGAGCTCTGAGGCTTATAACCAGTGAGGATACCATCGCTCCCAAGGACGCAAGCACGGCGCAAGCTCTGAAGGACAAACATCCACCCAGGGCTCCCAGTACCAACATTGACCTCCCTGACATTGTAGCAGGTGAAGAACATCTAACCTTACAGGATGCTGATGTGTATAAAGCTGCTATGTCATTTCCACAGGGTTCAGCAGGAGGTTTCACCGGTTTAAGGCCTCAACACTTAAAACAAATACTCAATCCAGCACTTGGTGAGGTTTCAGAGAGGCTGCTGTCCGAACTCACCAAATTTTCCAACCTGTGCCTGGCTGGCAGTGTCCTAGAGGCCATCAGACCCCTTTTCTTTGGTGCCTCATTGTGTGCCCTCCGGAAAAAGGATGGCGGAATCAGGCCCATTGCAGTGGGTAACACCCTTCGGCGCCTAGTCGCCAAGGCTGCAGTAAGAAGGGTGAGTCAAGAGGCTGCTGCAATGCTGAAACCAACTCAGCTCGGTTTCGGCGTTCAACAGGGCTGTGAAGCAGCTGCCCATGCAGCACGAGTATACATCAAAAACATGTCCGATGAAAAAGCCAAAATCAAATTGGACTTTGTCAACACTTTCAACTCAGTCAGAAGAGATGCTGCTCTCCAAGCAGTTTATAGAAACTTCCCTTCCCTTTATCCCTTCATAGAATCGTGTTATAGTGTGACTTCCAAACTATTGTTTGGGGACCATGAAATTGACTCGTGTGAGGGCGTGCAACAGGGGGGACCCTCTCGCCCCCTTTCTATTTTGTTTGGTCATCAAGGAAGTCACGGAGGCACTCTCCAGCGAGCTCAATATCTGGTTCCTGGACGACGGTACCCTGGCTGGCACAACAGAATCTCTCCTGGAGGACATCAGTAAAATTAAAGACATGGGAGAAAGCCTGGGCCTTTCTTTAAACCCCACCAAATGTGAAATAGTTTCTACCGATCAACAGATGATCCAGAATATTAGTGCCGTTTTACCAGGAGCACGAGCCATTGATCCAGCCAATAGCACTCTCCTCGGTGCTCCTCTTGGGTCCAATGCCATCGATCTGATCCTAGGAAAAAAAGTCTCAGACCTCCGGACGATGGAAAGCAGGATGAAAGACATTGACACACACGATGCCTTCTACCTACTCACCAGGTGCCTGTCAATCCCAAAACTTACCTACTTTCTGAGATGATCCCCAGCCTTCAGTAGTCCAAAACTCAAGGAATATGACTCTCTCCTTAAGACCATGCTAGAGAGTGTATTGAATCTTTCCCTTGACGATGGACAGTGGTTGCAAGCCTCACTCTCGGCCAGGCTTGGAGGGCTAGGAGTACGCAGATCCTCCCATTGCTCTACCAGCTTTCCTATCCTCTTCCATAGCATCAAACGAGTTGATAAGACAAATTCTTCCTGATACCCTCAGCGACTCAGCAGGAATAGAAGACCCTAGCTATGCCAGTGCCATCACTGAATGGGAGACTCTTGCTGCTCCAGCACCAAACCTTAGTGCAGTACTGGCTCACAAACAGTCCAGCTGGGATGGCCCGATCGCTGAAAAGGTGCTTGCCACCATGCTTAGGGCTGCAACATCAGATAGGGAGATTGCCAGTCTCCAGGCTGTGAGCGCACCTCACTCCGGGGACTTCCTCCAAACAGTTCCCATATCGGCAATGGGAACGCGACTCGACCCTAAGACCCTCCGTATTGCAGTGGCTCTGCGCCTTGCTGCCCCAATTCACATAGAATATACGTGTATTTGTGGCGAAGTGCAAGCAGAGCAATACGGTCTACATGGTCTTAACTGTTCCAAGACACAATGAGGTCAACGACATCATAAAGAGAACCCTTGCTACAGCTGGATGCCCAGCCGAGAGGGAGCCCCGATCACTAGCAACCAACAATACCCACAACCCAGCAAACCGCCCCGACGGGATCACCATCTGTCCTTGGAAGAATGACAAGCTCTTAGCATGGGACTATACCTGTGTGTCCACACTGGCTGACACCTATATCCATCACAGTGTGGGGCGACAGGGAGGAGCTGCTGACCACAGGGAGGAGCACAAGATCAGCAAGTACAGGGACATAAGCCAACAGTATCAATTTGTCCCAGTGGGATCAGAGACCTTGGGATCATGGGGAAAAAATGCCACACGTTTCCTTAAAGAACTGGGTTCCAGACTCATCGACACCACCAGGGACCCAAGGGCAGCCACTTTCATGTTCCAGCGCCTCAGCGTGGCCATCCAGAGGGGAAATGCTTGCTGCATACTGGGCTCGCATCCAGCCTCGGAGGAGCTGGAGGAAATTCATGATCTTTGATACATTGTACCATTGTATTCATGTTTGTTTTTTCTGTAAATGTATTCTGTTTATTAATAAATGTTCACATAGAATATAAAATATATAGGGGGTGGCAGGAGAAGAAAATATTCAAACAGCTCCGGGGAGAACCTTGAGTTTTCCCTGAGGTACGTTTATTGTCTTCTCTGAGGATGAGGGTCCCCAGTCCAGCTATAGAGGTATATATATATATATATATATTATATATATATATATATATATATATATATATATATATATATTATATATATATATATATATTTTATATATATATATATATATATATTGGATGACAGCATGGTAATATGTATGAATATAAACTGTATGGTGTGAGTTGTGTTGTGTTGTGTTGTGTGTTTTAACGTCACGTCCTTACCTGGTTAATGGAAGACTTGAAGAATTCCATGGACTGCTCTAAAGCGTAGGTATCTGAGGAGCAGGTGTCGAGGATGAGGGCCCCTATGGTGATGTTGGGCAGGAGGACGGGGTCCTGGTTGATCATGTCCAGAGCATAGAGCATGGCTTCCATGCGTTGGATGCCCTTCTCCTCCTTGATGGAGCCACACGGGTCGTCTACACCACGCTCGTGCATGGGAAACATCCCGCCGAAGATCACATCTCCCGGGATGTCCACCATCTTCACTTTGTCCGCCTTGCCTGCCTGCGTCAGGTGGGTCAGGGATGCTACCTGCAGAAGTAGCAGCAGTAGGCCGCTACTTCCTGCCTTCAGTAGGCTACTGCTTCCTGCCTTTAGTAGGCTACTGCTTCCTGCCTTCTGTAAGCTACTGCCTCCTGTTTTCAGAAGGCCGCGGCGTCCTGCCTTCAGTAGGCTGCTGCTTCCTGCCTTCAGTAGGCTGCTGCTTCCTGCCTTCAGTAGGCTGCTGCTTCCTGCCTTCAGTAGGCTGCTGCTTCCTGCCTTCAGTAGGCTACTGCCTCCTGCATTTAGAAGGAGGTAGGCCAGACAGGCAGCTACGACGGGCAGCATTCGACAGACGTACGTCAAGAGACAGGCGCTCCGACGACAGATGGAGTGAGGGGATGTTCCTCTACACCCTGGGCTGCCCTTCCCCTGCTCTCCCAGGGGCCCTCCCAAAAGCCCTCCCAGGGGTCCTACCAGGGGTCCTACCAGGGGTTCTACCAGGGGTCCTGGAATAGTACTGCTCCCCCAGCCACCTGTAGTATCTCCAGTGTCTGGGGTCTCTCTGGGGACCCCACTGGTGGCCCCTGGGCCACATGGACCGTGGTTCAGACTCCAGGCGGCAGCCGGTTCAGTGGTGGCCATGAGAGGTCTCCAGGTCTGGATGTGGCCAAGTTGGTCCACGTCCTTAGCCAATTGTAGGGGGAGCGTAGCCCCCTGATGACCCCAGCCTACTGGGGCATACCCAGGAGACATACCCCAAGGGAGGGCCATATGGCCCTGGCGGGGTGTGAAGGCCATACCGGCGCAGAAGGAGCTACCAGTGGCCCCTAAGTGTGGCCCTGTGAGGCAGGTGTGGCCACCCAGCTCACCATGGTGTGGCCCGGAACCGGTCTGTGGACCACTGGACCCCACGGGTCCACTACATGGCTGTGGCCCCTGACCCTTCCCAGGCCACCCCCTCTCGTCCTAGACCACTCACGTCGGGCCAGCAGTGCCCCGCCTCTCGGACGGAGGATCGAGCCCACACGGATTCAGAGCTTTACATAATAATATCAAGGGCAACACACCGACCGGGCCAGGTCTGCCGGGCCACTTCTGTGATCC